TATATATATATATAATGTAGTAAAATATTGATTCATTTTAATTCTCCTGTGCAACTTGCATTTCTATACTCTTTTTCATATTTGTCGTGACGGTTTTGCGTTCCTCATTTGGTAATACACACTCTTCCTTATATTCTGCATTTTCTATTGTATACGATGTTGTAAACATTTCGATTTTTATTCCTTCTTTTAAATTAACTCCGCTTTCCAGATTAATGTGATTTTCAAAATCATCAGATGTCTTAGTTTCCTCTTCGGACTTCCTGAGGACAGCCTGAAGGTAATGTATAAATTAATAATATCATTTTAGTCAATTGTAACCAAAACTTTTTATGAATCAAAAGCACGAAAATAATTTGTATATATGTGTATAAATATATATATGTGCGTGTGCGTGTGCGTGTGCGCGTAATAATTTTTACATTACATAACGCTTTGATTTTCTATAAGGTGTTCAGCAACAGATTAGTTAAAATTTAAAGATTCTGGATAAAAGATAAAAATAAGGAATCACAAAATTGTGAGTTTGGCTTCGTTTTATAATTACAAATGTTTAAACATTCGTATGTATTAGACACTTCTACATGAATATTTAAATTTATTTCATTCAGAATTACCAAAACGAGAATAACAAAATTTCGATGGATGCTTCGTTCTTTTATTGTACTTATGTCTAAAATTATTATATTTATATCTAAAATGTGCTTTAGATTAGCTTTTTACACGAATACTCAAACACTTACGACTACATAAAAAACGAAGCCGAATTCACAATTTTATTAGGCTTCAACTTTCTTATCATCTAGAATGCTTTCTTAAATTTTTTCTTTTTCTGTTGCTGAATACCTTGTGTATATTACAATATTATTATATATTATACTAACATATATTATATATTATACTAACATCTTTCTGTTTGCAATAAGAAGTAGTTTGCGAACCATGTGATTGTTTAATTTCTGTTTGTTCTGATGAGGTTTGTTCAGAATTTTTATACGTTGTAGGATGTTCAGAAATTATTTGGATCAGTGGTTTAATTGATTTTTTTACCGAACATTCAGTTTTCTGTAATTTATTATGAGATAATATTTCTTCTGATTGTTTATTGTCCATTGTGAAATCCGGCTTAATCAACAATTTCTTGCTGTTCTCTAATTTTTGCAGATGATCGCAAAATTCTTCATAAAGTGATACATTGGCATTTACTGCTGGTGACTGCGACTCAGAGTTTTGGGATTGTCGAAAAAGATTGGCAAGTGATTGGATATCTAGAACAAATAAATTTAGTTCTAAATAATTTTTAATTATATACTTATTTTTTACACGAAAAAAATGTTTCTGTTAAAAATTTAAGTAGATACAGATCTGGAGAAATAATTGTTTTGGACCATTAAGATAATTATATAGGAAATTCAGGCACGATGAACAATTATAAGCAATCTCGCTTCCTCTTTGATATCTCCGCGTTTTATTAGAAAATATTTCTAATTCGTCATTAATTTTCTCATTCTCGTAAATAGCGTCGTTATGACTTATGCAAAAAGTTTTGATATTTTATCAATGAACATAGGCTACACAATTATTTTGATAATCCAATAAAATTATGTTCAAATAAATATGTTTAGCTAAATTTGTTAATATTTCAGCAAAACTATTCTCTTTCTGTATATTAATATACCGATCTTACCAGAACAATGAGCTGATGCAGCGAATTGTGAATTGATCGTTTGTTCCGTCATTAATTCTTGTCTTTCAGAATACGTACTCGTATTTGTCACATCATTAGATTTATTGTCACACTTATCATGGTAATTATTTCGTTCTCCAAAATCGCCCGCGGACTTACTAAGATTCATTTTTGAGGTGTAACCAGATGGCAAGTATTCTCTAGGATTTCTCTGATTGTATTTATAGCTTTGCGATTTCCCGTTTGCATTTTCCGCGTCTTTTATTAGATGCGTTATACATTTGTCGATCAACGGCGACACTTTCTTCGCAAATTTCTTCGTTTCTTGTATCAGATGCTGTCTGCATCTCTCAGAGATTTGGCTACGAGATTTGCGTTCCTCCAGTTTCTTTCCGAGATTCATTTCCTTGATGAGGAAAGATTTCTTGTTGCTCACCTCGACATCCTCCGCTTCGCGAGTTCTTTTACCTGTCAGTCTTGAAGAATGACTTGCTCTTTCTAGAGATAAATGATCTATCGTTCGAACGAGCGATTCCATTTGAGAATTACATTGTTCTGTTTCAGTTGAAAATTCTCGCTCGCTTTTTGATATCTCCGTTTTATCAGACGATTTTTCCAATCCGTCATAGATTTTCTCATTTTCATAAATCGCGTCGTTATGATTTTGATTTGAAATTACTTCCTTCCAATTGTTGTCCATTGAATGATCGATATTTTCATTTTGAATTGAATCGATAATTTTGTCAAAATTATTTTCCTTATTAGCCAATTTTAAAACTTTTGGTAATTCATAACTGCTTTCCAAAATTTGCGAGTCTTCTTGAACGGACAATGCCGTCTTAAAGGAATCGTCGTCAGATTCATCGATGTTTTTCTTCCTTTCCGGAGATTCGAATGAAAGATCGTTAACTTTGTCTTCGAAAATCTCGATTTTTACAGAATTATTCTTCTCTGCACTATTTTCACATTCCGAATACTGTTCATTAGAATTAACAAGATCCTTCGTATTAATGAGAGTGCAGATATTTTTCTTCTCTGGATCAAAGGCTAATTTTTCGTTATCCAGTTTTTCCTCTAGAGCCATCAATTCAGTTGAAATTTTCGGTTTGTGTATGCACTCCCGAATGTCACGATTTCTCAATTCAGTAAAGAGACTGTGAAATACTCCATGCGATTCTTCTTGCTGTATACTTAAAGATTGCTCGCTTTCATAATTTGCCGCGTTTTTCACGGAATATGTTTTCATTGAATCCGGAAGGACACTTGATGGGGAAGCCTTTAGTGCCGTCAAATCGTGGACATCCTGAAAATAACTTGTAGCATCGGTCAGCTGCTTTTTATCTTCCGACGAACAGCGATCGGATTTTTCAACTCTTTTGGTATCTTCTGCTTCCACTTTGTTTTCCTTTACTTCGTCCTCTCGCTTGTTTAAGATCTCCTTGACTTTCAATTTTCTTTCCTTGGTACTCCACCACCGTAGTTTATCTTCCTCGCTCACGGAAACCTTGGTTCCAGTTTCTTGGATCTTGCTATCATCAACAAAATCAGTTTGTAAATTTTGGTCCACCATCTTCCTCTCGCCCCAGAATCCCTCCACCTCGCCATTCTTGAACACTATCTTGTTTTCGTCAACAAACCTATCCATACTGTCGCAGAATTCTCTCATTTCTTCTCGGATGCTACTAAGTTTAGAACCGAACGGATAGAATCTACTTTTTCTTTGATAGCTCTTGATATTTTTATTCGATATATCGTCTTTCTCGTTGGTGACTTCATTAGTAGGTTTATGGTATTCTTCTAACATCTGTTTTAGATCCGATGTGTCACACGATACTGAACAGGTAAACGTTCTCTCGCTTTTACGATCTATAAAAAACAATTTTAATTGCTAAGATAAGAATAATTACAGATGATGTAGAAATTTATTCGAGATAATAATAAACAAGATAAATTTAATTAAGATAAAAATAATTATAGATAAAGTAAGACATTTTTCTACGATTAGGATAAAGTTACCAAAATCATACCGGCTCCTAAATCGCACTATCTCGCTTAAAAATTCAATTATTGCGTTTATATCCTTTTTTACGGATTATTTAAAAATTACATGGTACTGCAACGCTATTACGTTATACTCGTGACATGAAGCGCAATAGGAGTGTTGTTACTTACGTAAATAAAAAAATAAAAAAATCGTGATGGCATTATTTCAACGTATTTTATAGCAGAATTACAGAAAATATAAGTTAAATAGTCTAAGTCCTGATCATTTGTTGTGATTAGAATATTATTAAATTTAAATTAATAGGATTAAAGTTTGCTTTATATATTTTTTTATAGGTTAAATAAATAAAATTTAAAAATGCTTTAGTTTCCTAAATCGTATCATAATGTGATTTCCTAAACCACAATCTAACCTTTTAAATCACACTTAATATTTTCTCTTTTCTTACATTTTTATTCCATTTATTATTATGTAAAAATATAAACGAAGTGTTTATTTTGTTTCACAGAAACTTCTTAAATTGCTTCTTAAAATTGTCATGTGTTTCAAACTATGAAAAATATATTTTTAAATTTTTAACAGCATAATGAAATACAATTTTTTCCTTTTCTTATGTAATTTTTCAATTTTTTGCATTA